TATTTTTTCATGTAGATGAGTATTTTGCCTGTGGGTTATGTAAGTGTATCACATGTGTACAATGGCTGTGGAGGTCAGAAGAGGGTGTGGTATGCATGTATATATATATGCATGTTTTTAAAATATTTTATTATTTTTCTTTTATGTGTATGCATGTACTGCCTGCATGTGGGTAAGTGCACCCGTGTTGTGCAATGCCCATGGAGGGCAGAAGAGACTGTAGATCCCTTGAAACTGGAGTTATGGACGGTTGTTAGCTGCCATATGGGTGCTGGGATTTGAATCCGGGTCCTCTGCAAGAACAGTCAGTGTTCTTAACTGCTGAGCCATCTCTCCAGCCCATATATGCATGTTTTTATGTGTGCAGGTGCTCATGTGCACATCCATGTAAAGGTTCAAGGTTGATGCTGAGTGTCTTTCCAGATTGCTCTCTGTCTTGTATATTAAGGCAGGCATTTCACTGAACTCAGAGTTCTAGCTAGCCAGCCTGCCCAAGAGATTTTCTATCTCTGCCTTCCTTGTGCTGGGACTACAGGTAGCTGCCACATCTGCCCAGCTTTTTACATGGGTGCTGGGAATTGAAGCTCGAGTCCTCATGAAGCAAGCCTGTTACTTCCTGAGCCATCCAACCCTTATTATTCTTTTTAAAAAATACAAAGTGTGATTTCATTCTATATGTAACCTTGTATCATTTTTACTTACCATAAGTTTTAAATTTCTGTTCTAAGCAGAACTGTTTGCAAGTACAATTCTAAAAGCAATACGTAATTCCCCACTGAGTGGTCAGAATATGATTTACATAATCATTTTGCTATTGTGAAAATTGAAACTTCTGGAAGGATTGCTCTAATAAATCAGGTAGTGGTGAGAATGCATGTGCTTCAGTGTTTTATTTTCTTCTGTAGTTATGATTATTAGAGTCCTGGGGTAGAATCACACACAGTCCCACAGCAACATGCAAACCTTCTTGTACCTTCACCAGCAATGGGACTTCATGAAATAAGCCAACTTGATAGAGAAGAGGGAACAATGTTCCGGCCGTCCCAATATGCATTTCCATGATCAGTAGTGAGGCTGACCAGCCACACTCCTGTTAATTAGCATTCTCTGTCATTTTCCTGTTCCTCTTTGGGGACTTGCACACTCATTTGGAATTGTCTTCCTAGTAAAAGAATCTGACTTATATGTACAAGGAGATTTCTGAAGCTAAAAAGACATAATTCAACATCAAAAATTACCTAAAAGACAAATACGCTGATCCTCTGTTCAGCTGCCTAACAGGAAAACACCCGCCAATTAAAGATATCAGATAAAGATAAAAACATATGAAGCACTTCAGATTTTTGGTAACTTCAGAGTTTTGGATAACTCTTGATCTCGAAAACCATGTCATTTAACGTGAATAATCATTTCCTGAATCTTACCTGAAGCATAACAACATTGTTATCCTCAAAAGTTACCAACACGTCAGTGTCACACTTCAGGCCTGCGATTCGGTTTTCCATCATGTAACCCTGTTACAGAAGAAGAAAAGAATATAATTATGATTTGCAATCCTATCATTATATAGGAAGAGCATTTTCTTTGAAATTAAAAAAGTACAGAACAAGCCATGCCTGGTGGCACACGCCTTTAATCCCAGCAGAGGCAGGTGGATCTCTGTGAGTTCAAGGCCAGCCTGGTCTACATAGTGAGTTCCAGGACAGCTGGAGCTACAGGGAAACCCTGTCTCAAAAAACCCAAAAAAAAAAAAAAAAAAAAGTATAGAACATTGAAAAGAATAAAATAACCATCTAGCTCCTCAGAATAATTTTTATCTGTCACATTAGCTTTGAGACCACAAATACTATTGTGGGTGTTGCTTTTATTAGTAATAAAACATTCACAAATGGTCATTTCATACTTTAGCAAAAGATTTCAATTAATTATACTGATGTTTTTCTCCCCATGTGCCACCAGGTCTCACTTCCCTTCTCTGTTTCCCCATATTGGTTTACTTCAGAGTTGTCTCTATCTGACTTCCCAGGTCTCAATTCCCTTCTCTGTTTCCCCATTTTGGTTTACTTCAGAGTTGTCTCTATCTGACTTCTGCTTTCTCATTAATTTCACTTCCGCTTTCCCAGGTCCTGCACCTGGGTTCTTTACCCCATGTGCCCCCAGGTCTCAATTCCCTTCTCTGTTTCCCCATTTTGGTTTACTTCAGAGTTGTCTCTATCTGACTTCTGCTTTCTCATTAATTTCACTTCCGCTTTCCCAGGTCCTGCACCTGGGTTCTTTACCCCATGTGCCCTCAGGTCTCACTTCCCTTCTGTTTCCCCATATTGGTTTACTTCAGAGTTGTCATTAGTTGTCACTATCTGACTTCTGCTTTCTCATTAATTTCACTTCCGCTTTCCCAGGTCCTGCACTTGGGTTCTTTACCCCATGTGCCCCCAGGTCTCACTTCCCTTCTGTTTCCCCATTTTGGTTTACTTCAGAGTTGTCTCTATCTGACACGCTTTCTCATTAATTTCACTTCCACTTTCCCAGGTCCTGCACCTGTGTTCTTTACCCCATGTGCCCCCAGGTCTCACTTCCCTTCTCTGTTTCCTCATTTTGGTTTACTTCAAAGCTCTCAGGAATCTTAATTTCCCCATTTGTTTCATGAGCTGCCACTTCTCCCCTTTCCCACTTCCCTTGTCTGGGCTCCTCTTCTCTGTTTATCTTAAGTGTCTCACTCTTTTCTCACTCTTTTCTCATTTCCCTTTCTAGTTTCCTCCTGTCTGTTTCTCACGTCTCTTTTTCCTCGTGTTTTGTATTTCTTTTTTTTAGGAAAAGTTCTTAAAAATGCTGGTGAATTTTATAAAATGATTTTTAAATATTTTATTTGTAGTTTTTGTGCGTGTATTGCCTGTGTGTAGGTAAGTGCACCCATGCCGTGCAATGCAAGTGGAAAACAGAAGAGACTGTCAGATCCCCTGGAACTGGAGTTACAGACAGTTGTGAGCTGCCATGTGGGTGCTGGGATTCGAACCCAAGTCCTCTGCAAGAGCAGTCAGTGCTCTTAACCACTGATCTGTCTCTCCAGCCCCTTTTAAGAAACTTTTTTACCTATTATTTTTATTTTATGTGCATGAATGTATTGCCTGTATATATGTGAGTGTACCTGTATCCTGCAATGCATCAGAGGTCAGAAGAGGGCATCAGATCCACTGGATTTGGAGTTAAGTATGGTTCGTAGCTACCATGTGGGTGCTGGGACTCAAACCTGGGTCCTCTGCAAGAGCAGTCAGTGCTCTTAATTGCTGAGCCATCTCTCAAGCCCCAAGAACATTTTTAACTTACAGATTGTGAGAGACAGGCTTGAGCCTAGGGTGATATTGCAACTGTCAGGGCCACGTGGTTTCCAGGAATCCAGGCTCTGTAATCTGAAACCCAGTATGCTAATGAGGCATCCTACCCACTATTCTGTGATAGGACGTTAAATCTGTTATGCTAATAGTATGCTAAGTTTGTTATGCTAATAAGGTATCCTACTTGCTGTACTGTGATAGGACACTAAACCTGTTATGCTATTAAGGTATCTTACTTGCTGTGCTGTGATTGGACCACTAACCCTATATAAGCTTGTGCCTTCCTGCAACAAACCAGACCTGTGTTACTGAACCAGGTCTCCTGTGTCTGAATGTGGCTCCGCTGACACAGTCTCCTGATCAGCCATGATGTCCGGGAGCAGGCAGAAGCAGCAAAACAGGGGGCAGCACAGGGCAAGCAGAAGAGCTGCCTCAGCACCAGGTGAGCAGAAGAGTGGCCTCAGCCCAGGGTGAGTGGAGGAGCAGCCTTGACACCCGTGAGAACAAAGGAGCGGCACCCACGAGAATGGAGGAGCGGCTGCCACTGGCAGTGACCACAGCTGGCACCCAACATGGGGCATGAAGCCTCCTGCCCCATGGAGCTGTAACACTCGGGGATCCCGATGCCCCCTTTGCCAGTGATTCTTCCATGGGTGCTTGCCAGTTTTGTTCTCCTGTGCTGCTGCTTCTGGCTCGCAGTCTTCAGTTTGGCATGTTGTTCCTGTCTCTACTGATTGTCTTCCTGAACAGCTCCTAGTCCTTCTAGGTACGTCTTACAGGGTGAGTGACCTCCAGTATGGGGAATAGTCATCCAGCTGCTGCCAGCCCCATGCTGCTGCACTGGTTTCTCTCCTCAGGAAGGAGTAGGCAAATTAGAGTAATAGAGAAGGAAGTAACTAAGGTATTAGATGAAGTGCTAGCACTTGATCCTTGGCTTATGGATTCCTGCTGTTGGGATCTGGAGCAATGGGCTTCTGTGCTATTCATGGCCAGAAAGAGAGAAGTCAGGGAGGGGTGTCCATTATCTGGGCTGTTCTACCCCATTGTGACTGCCATTCTGGCCTCGCTTTGGGGAGTTCCCCCTGATGCCCCTGAGCAGAATAATCTCATACTAAGAAACATAGATAAACAAATAAAGCAACAGGATAGTGGGGACAGCCTGTCCCAGGCATTTCCAGTCAAAACTAAACTGATTTCTCTTCTGATGCAGAAACGATGACTGCTGATACTGAGGCAAAAAAATGATGAACTAGGGTCCGAGGTCCCCCTGATGAAAAACAGGAAGACAAGATCGCCCCTGACCTGCCATTATGGGGCAGTGGCTACCCTCCACCACCTTGTATTGGCTTTGATGAAAAACAGGAAGTTAAGGCAATCTCCACTCTGCCATTATGGGGTGATGGCTACTTTCTGCCATCTTGCACTAGCTCTAAGGAAGTTTCCCCCCAGTCCATCTACCCCTCCCTTCCAGAGGAGGACTGGAAGCCCCTCCCGCCTAGGCCCCTCTCCTATGATACAATGGGTGATTTTCCACAGTTTTTCCCAGTTACCGTCAATCAGGGACTATAGAACCCTAATGTCTGGAATCCATATTCTCATGATACTTTTAAAAAGCTGCATAAGGCAGCCATTGAGGATGGCATTCATTCCCCTTGGTTTGGTCACCTATTAGATACCTCCTATGATTGGCAGAATATTGGCCATGCTTGTCTACAGGGAGGTGATTTTCTCTTATGGAAGGCTGCTTATCAGGACAAATGAAAACAACAGACAGAGAGCAATAGAAATGCCAATGTTCAAAACATTGGGTTTGACACCTTGGTAGGGAGTGACACTTTTAAAACCCCACAAGCCCAGGCACAGGGACCTCCTTGCTACTTTGAACAAGTGCGGCTTTGCACGCTCCATGCTTTCCAAAGTATGCCAACTTGTGAGGATACCAAATTGACCAAGTTGATACAAAAAACAGGTGAGCCTTCCTCTGACTTTGTTAAAAGGTGCCAGCAAAGCATTAATCAGAAAATCAGCCATCGGGTGGGGGGGGCGCAGATTCTTTGCTTCAGGATCTTGTATATGAAGGCTGCTCTACCGAGCGTTGCCTTACCATAGGACGTGTTAGACACAAGGATGTCTCTGAATGGATTCTGGCCTGTCAGGATGTGGGGACCACTCGAGCTCATGACATGGCTCTCGCTGAGGCACTGGCTGCTCACCAGCCACGGGCTGAGATGGACAAAGGCAAATGTTGGGCTTGTGGAGGACAGGGTCATTGGTCTTGAAGATCTGGCAGATAGACATTCTCAAATATATCCATCATATTATTGACACCTGTTGTTAACGCAAGGGTGAGCCTAAGCTTGTGTCTTTCCAGATAGTGTTCCAGCCCCCATTTGGATTCCAGCCCAGAACATCAGAATTGAGATGGAAGGACCCTCTCACAAGTGAATGGAAAGGTCCACACCTATTATTAACACAAGGGTGAGGCTATGCTTGTGTCTTTCCAGATAATCTTCCAGCCCCCATCTGGATCCTAGCCCAGAACATCAGAATTGCCTGCAATGGAAAATCTCCCTCCACAATGACTGACCCACAAAAGCCACCAACCTGGGGAGACCTTGAACATCTCTCTCTGCAAACAGAGACGTGAGCTAAGTCCTCAATCTAGAGGAAAACCTTTGTCTATGTTCCCTATTATTTGTGTTATCAGTATTGTTAACTCCCAAATGTTAGCAACTCTCCTTAACCCCCACTAACTCATCAACCTTACTTGATGGATTATTAATGTAGCCAATGAAAAGGAGGTAAATTCTACATAAAAATCTACACCCCCTGGCTACATGTAGTTCCCTGAACTACAGATGTACCATGCTTCTGTCTGCCTTAGCTATTCCCCTTATTATACTAACTCTTCTCCTGATTTTTGGACCCTGCATGGTTAATTTTGTTAAGGGTCGTTCAATTAGCTGTTGCCCCACCTCCAGATCTTGCCAGGCATGTCTTGGAAAGCAAGGACCCACTGTTCCTTGCCCTTACCAACCTATAATTGGCCTCCAATGGGTTTCAACAAATTCTTGACCCCTGAGGAGGCCTTTAAACAAGCCAATACTGGATGTACTGCCTCTCCCTCTGCCAAACCACACAAGGGACCCACCCTTCGAGGGTTGGTAGTCAATGATGGGTAA